AACACAGTTGCCAGCATTTCTTTTTTGTGTTGTGCAATATTTGTGCTCTTTTTGCGGGTGCCTTCTGCTCGCATACGCGATAAAGGCTTCCATTCCTTCCGCCGTGCGGTGCAAACGTATAGCTCTAATTCCAGTGACATTGACATCCGTGTCCACAATGAAATTACCCACGGATAGATGCCTGTCACGGAACGTCAAAGCTGGCGCAACGTAACGGCCGTTCGATGTGTCTCAAACACTACGCTACCCCAAATGAAAGCTTGATCAGTCTACAGAAAGCCGTTCAATGGACTAGCGGTAATCGCAAACCGTCGGACGAAACGCCGATGGTAAGAGGTAAGAATGAGGAAGATAGGCACTTTGTCAGCACTTTTCAGCACCGGTTATGAGCGGACACCTTCGGCCTACGCTGGATCGCTGAGCGCTCCTCCAGACATGATGTAACTTAAATAGACAAAATCATCCTTTAGGAATTGACACTTCGAGGGCTCATGTTTCAACCTTTGCTGTCATAAATGTTCCAATACGGCTATGAGGCTCTGATTGTGTGCTTCAGCAGTCATGCCGTGCACGATGACGTCGCCTTGGTAAGGTAGACATTGTTACCTATCAATTCTGCCAAAACTGTTTGCATTTGGTGCTAGAAGGCGGCGGGCGCGTTGGTTACTCCAAATGGCATGGTTTGGAATTCGTAAATTTCGGACGAAAAAATATACCCAGACTTACACCTGTCGTACGGGCGTACCTTGGTCTGTCACTAACCGGACGGCAGGTCCAAATTAGTAAACAAAAGTAATCCACTCCGGGCATCTACTATGTCATCCACTTTCGACCAAATCCATTTGCCCTCCTAAAATTAGCTGTTGGACTCAATGTCGTTTCGGCGACTAATCCCGTCTCGTCTGTTTGGTCTCCTGCTTTCCAACTCCCCTCAGACTCCTGTGACATTACTAGCCATCGTTCAGATGATTGAGCGCCGTTCGTATCCAATCATTCTTCAATCGGACGATTGAGTCTCTGTCATCCGTAACTCAGCCTCAGCTGATCAGCCAAATTCTATGGGACTGCTACCAGGCTACCGGGATGTTAGCGGTCTAGGCTCCGTCGATCCAAAGCACTTCCTCCCTCACCTTGATATCCTGCCGAACTTGTTCGCCCTATGTTGATATAACCACTTTTATCTCTAACCAGTCCGCTCCTACTGACTCCACTTACCTTCCCAAATGAACCATAGGACTCAATCACAATGCGCCGACCAAGTCCAACCTTGGCAGATCGGTCCTCTTCTCTCCTACTTCTGCGACGCTGCCTGCTATGCTCGGAAGACTGAATGCTCTTTCACCATTACCTCTAGAGCCTCGTTAACTGTCGCGTTTCATATCCGTAAACGTAAACTCTCAACTCTGTCCTCTCCTTATCGCGGCCTGTCTTTATTTCTTCTTCATCCGCATAGCCAGCTCTCAGAGCTCTGCCCTATTATCTTCTTTGACTGCTTCCTAACTAGCGAAATGTAGTTTTAGGCTCTGTATCACCATCACACAACTTCTCTCACATTGCGAGCCTGCCTGACTTGCATACCTTATATTCATGTAGCCTCTTGCATCCCAACCCATCCGTCTCCGCTGACTCTTTATTTACCTTCCCACCTCAACTGTACTACTTACTCTAAGTGTGCCGACTAATCCAGTCTCGTCTGATCGGTCCCCTGCTCTCCGAATTCATTCAGACTGCTGTGACGTTACCAGCATTGAATGAGAAGTGCGAACGCTCTGTCCCCATTCCCTCTCGAGCCCCATGGACTTTTCCACACCTTATAAGTAAACCTCTCCCTATCCGGACCGTCTCCTTATGACGTTCTCTACTTTCAATCCTTCTCTAATCGGACTGCCAACTCTCAGTGCCCTGTAATAACCTAGTCTCATCTGACCGGTCTGCTTCTTTGACCCTTTCCAGACCAGCAACATTTAAACGGTCTAGACTCTGTAGACTCAAGCTATATCGCACTTACGTTGACAGCCTGCTAGACTTGTTCACCCTCTATTTATATAGTCACCTCCACCTCTCGACCCACTCCATTTGCCCTCCTAAAATTAGCTGTTGGACTCAATGTCGTTTCGCCGACTAATCCTGTCTCGTCTGTTTGGTCTCCTGCTTTCCAACTCCTCTCAGACTCCTGTGACATTACTAGCCATCGTTCAGATGACTGAGCGCCGTTCGTATCCAATCATTCTTCAATCGGACGATTGAGTCTCTGTCATCCGTAACTCAGCCTCAGCTGATCAGCCAAATTCTATGGGACTGCTACCAGGCTACCGGGATGTTAGCGGTCTAGGCTCCGTCGATCCAAAGCACTTCCTCCCTCACCTTGATATCCTGCTGAACTTGTTCGCCCTATGTTGATATAACCACTTTTATCTCTAACCAGTCCGCTCCTACTGACTCCACTTACCTTCCCAAATGAACCATAGGACTCAATCACAATGCGCCGACCAAGTCCAACCTTGGCAGATCGGTCCTCTTCTCTCCTACTTCTGCGACGCTGCCTGCTATGCTCGGAAGCCTGAATGCTCTGTCACCATTACCTCTAGAGCCTCGTTAACTGTCGCATTTCATATCCGTAAACGTAAACTCTCAACTCTGTCCTCTCCTTATCGCGGCCTGTCTTTATTTCTTCTTCATCCGCATAGCGAGCTCTCAGAGCCCTGCCCTATTATCCTCTTTGACTGCTTCCTAACTAGCGAAATGTAGTTTTAGGCTCTGTATCACCATCACACAACTTCTCTCACATTGCGAGCCTGCCTGACTTGCATACCTTATATTCATGTAGCCTCTTGCATCCCAACCCATCCGTCTCCGCTGACTCTTTATTTACCTTCCCACCTCAACTGTACTACTTACTCTAAGTGTGCCGACTAATCCAGTCTCGTCTGATCGGTCCCCTGCTCTCCGAATTCATTCAGACTGCTGTGACGTTACCGGCATTGAATGAGAAGTGCGAACGCTCTGTCCCCATTACCTCTCGAGCCCCATGGACTTTTCCACACCTTATAAGTAAACCTCTCCCTATCCGGACCGTCTCCTTATGACGTTCTCTACTTTCAAACCTTCTCTAATCGGACTGCCAACTCTCAGTGCCCTGTAATAACCTAGTCTCATCTGACCGGTCTGCTTCTTTGACCCTTTCCAGACCAGCAACATTTAAACGGTCTAGACTCTGTAGACTCAAGCTATATCGCACTTACGTTGACAGCCTGCTAGACTTGTTCACCCTCTATTTATATAGTCACCTCCACCTCTCGACCCACTCCATTTGCCCTCCTTAAATTAGCTGTTGGACTCAATGTCGTTTCGCCGACTAATCCTGTCTCGTCTGTTTGGTCTCCTGCTTTCCAACTCCTCTCAGACTCCTGTGACATTACTAGCCATCGTTCAGATGACTGAGCGCCGTTCGTATCCAATCATTCTTCAATCGGACGATTGAGTCTCTGTCATCCGTAACTCAGCCTCAGCTGATCAGCCAAATTCTATGGGACTGCTACCAGGCTACCGGGATGTTAGCGGTCTAGGCTCCGTCGATCCAAAGCACTTCCTCCCTCACCTTGATATCCTGCTGAACTTGTTCGCCCTATGTTGATATAACCACTTCTATCTCTGACCAGTCCGATCCTACTGACTCCACTTACCTTCCCAAATGAACCATAGGACTCAATCACAATGCGCCGACCAAGTCCAACCTCGGCAGCTCGGTCTTCTTCTCTCCTACTTCTGCGACGCTGCCTGCTATGCTCGGAAGACTGAACGCTCCGTCCCCATTACCTCGCGAGCCCCGTGGACTTTTCCACACCTTATAAGTTAACCTCTCTCTATCCGGACCGTCTCCTCTCCTTATGGCCCCTGTACTATCATTTCTTCTCTAATCGGACTGCCAACTCTTAGTGCCTTGTAATAACCTAGTCTCATCTGACCGGTATGCTCCTTTGACCTTTTCCAGACTAGCAAGATATACCGATCTAATCTCTCTAGACTCACAACTATGTCTTGCTTACATTGACAGCCCGCTAGACTTGTTTACCCTTGATTAATATAGGCACTTCCATCAGTAACCTGTACCCTCAAATCTTCAATCGGATGACCGACGCTTAGTGCCATGCCCTTCTTTGTCATTATCTGATCAGTGAAATTCTCTGGGACTATTACGAGGCCTCCGGATGTGTCGACTTCTCGAGTCTCGTCTGTTCGGTCTCCGGCTCTCAGAGTTCTCTCAGATTACCGGGATATTACCGATGCTATTTCAGCACTGAACGTTTCATACTTCGCACGAGAGCGTCCCTGGCTCACCACACTTTAGTAGTAAACCTTTTTCATCCTGACTATCGTCTCTTAATTGCTCTCATGAGTTACTCTTCGCACTGCCGTCCGCATTCTTCCGCTCATAGCTGATTCCTTAAATTTCCTTTTCTTCTTGGAACGTTGCTTTACCTATGTTGCTCCCGCATTCGGTCTCAACCATGTTGTCCTTAGTTTCACCTAAGATGCCGCTCGCATTCGGTCTGCTGTCATCATAATCGGTTTACCTGTTACTCTCCAAGAATCATATTAATCGCTTAACGTTGTCAACACGCTTTGTTATACCCTTCTTTCTACCTAGTAGTTGTAGTCTGAGGCACACCAGCGACGTGATGTAAAGAACGCGCTTGCAAATCATGTATACTAAACAAAATTACATAAATTTTAATGTATCATAGGCACCGTTGCGCGCCACCAGTCTGTGTTTGTGCTTCTTGCTTCGTTGCTGACTTTCTGTTTGGCTGCCTCTTGTCCGTTGCCCGTTTTCTCCCGAGATTTCCACAGATACATCCGCCAAAACAAGAAGGTTTATCCACTGGGAATAGTCGACCCACTTTCAATAGCCAGCTGGTTTACATGCTTGTTCTTTTCTCCGGGAGATGAAGAACCCACACATCGTTCCAAATGGAGCTCTTTCCGCCATTCTGGAGAAGCTACCACCACGGGGTCTAAACAAATGGGTTTAGCTCGCCTCGTACTCACAGTAGAACAATTTACTCACCTGGAATAATGTAGTTACATGGATCCACTGTTCCACAACCGGAGACTGACAATTCTGGCGTGATTACCTTCACTGCCTCAAACATTCCGATTCTCCAGTCACCTGGAGCTTTTCTGATGTCATTTCACGGACAGCACTGCGCGCGCATAAGCGGCTTTTCCGATGATCTTTCCTGGAGTTCTCACTTGGTTATGGAAACAATTACACTTACATTTGAAGGAAATACTTGTCCACTTCGCGGAGAATAGCATTTATTCCTGTTTTGGACATATTCAGACACAAGAAACAACTGCACTCACCGTCCCTATGACAAGTCCAGCATGGATAGCTGGACACGGGTTGCGAGCCGGACAATATAATAGAAAAAGCCGGCCTCTATTAACAATATGTTTACTCACCCGCATCATTATCATTCGACTCTGCGACTGTTTTACATCATTGACTGGCTTCAACGACTATTGCCGGTTCAGTACTAAGCCATTTGACCAACCAACGAAAAATTTTGGCTGTCAACCGACTGCGAATAATAGAGTGCAAAATCGGTCTATACGATGCATAGCCGACTAGCACTACAGTTCAACGGAAGCTACGACAGTGTTCCAGGACGTGGTGGGTTTTCGCCTGGCAAGCGTTCTCCCTATAAAAAGCCACAAATGTCCGCTTAACAACACTGCAACGTGGCGGATGTGACTCGCCACAAAATAAAGTCACAGCTATACATTTCACACTGACGCAGTCCTCAGCCTCCAACATCGAACCTGTGCAACTGATTTTACTATGAAGAATGCTTTAGTGGAGTACCGATCATCCCGGCTTCGTAATGGTCATCGATTGCACTAAACCTTGTTCGGGCTCCTGTGCTGATGGATCACTACATGGCAAATTTACCCCCCACTTGTATCTTGACGCAACAGTTTTTGCGCGCCACGGCGCCATTATGATCCTTGGTCTGACTATTACCTGACAATATGCTCGCTCTTATGGACTACATCTTTTCGTTTATTCCTTTCATTGTAACGAAATGTTTTAATATTCCAAAGAAGCTATGCTTGTATGCATATTTGATCATGCCTTTTAGAGGTGTGTCTCGTTTTACAGAGAATATACTATTTATTTATTTATTTAGTCCCTTCGAGTGACCGTATTTAGTTTCCGCTAATATACGCAAAGCCGAAGCTCGCCTATTTACGTTTTAATAAAGACAATGGGCGATGCCCAAGACGATTTTGACGGTCGGATCAAGTTGCCCTGCAAATACCTTCAATCATGCGTTTAATTCTTCCTGGAATTTTAGAGGTAACCGTCTAGCTTGTTGTCGAGTCGGCGGAGCATTGCCAATAGCGAAACGGTATTGTAAAATGTCGCACCATCCTAGATTGACCTCTGACCAAGCAAACGCGTTGGTATTTTACTAAAATATCTGATTCACTGCAGTTAAACGTCGGTAACTCTGCATAGATGTTTCGAGTGAATTGTTTGACGGACGTCTCTGGAAAAGTGCAAACCATACTTGGACTGTTGATCGAAACGAATGGCAAAAGTTCCTTTTGTATTTCTGAAAGTTTGGTAGCTAATTTGATGTTAGCATCAAAACAGAAGAGAAAATCGCCTCTTAACAATATTATCTAAAGGAGGTCATTAACAATAAACTAACGAGATGCAGCGGATTGTCCTCCTAAATTTATTGTGAAAGTCGTTTATCCAAACTGATTGCTGGTGGTCTGGATGGCTGCCACAACTTTCCCCGAAGCGTCTAGGAAGACGTTCGCCTCGGCTAGGACGATACGTTTTCAAACGTTGGAGCTTGTAGCTCTCGTATCAGCCAGCAGCTTGACACGATTATTCCGCAAAAACCTTAACACCACGGACTAACTGCACTACACGCGCTAGACACAGCTGATACAGTTAACGCATACTTTCGGGATCCAGTCCGTTGGTTGTGCTCAAGAAGGTTTGCAGCCCCCTCGAGGTACCTGCGTCGCCAGGCGTATGCCGACGCTCCAAAGCTTCCACATTAAGGTCAGGTTTGGCGTGGCTGCGTAGGTTAATGAGCAGTCGAACGCCTGTAGACGGCTCTCCTAGGTCTTTGAGTGCTTTTCCAATGGTCGGATTCCGGATGTACGTTTTGCTGGTGGTGTGACTGTGGGGCCTATTCCCGTTTCTGTTAGTACTCCCGAGCCAATTTTTCGTGTATTTGCTGTCCGTGAGCTGCCACGCGCAGTGCTGCTAACACTTAGGCTCGCGGTTACTCCGGTTATTCACGCCGAACATAAGCGTCTGTCGTCCCTTGCGGAGCCTGAGTGAGGACCTCCAACGCATTGCCTGTTCAGCAGCAAATGGGGTATGCAGCCGCGGCTTGTTTGCGCAATGCCACCACGAATATAGAAATTTGTTCTTTCACCTGCTGCATTCGTTGGTGAAACGGTCGTCTACACTACCACACATGCAGCGAAATCAGTAGGACTGTCTTAACCAAGAGGAAAGTATTTTTATCGACAGCATCAACAATACCTTCTGTTGTGACAGCACTATACGCCTCGGGGTCTAGTAGATTAAGCAGTTGGTGCATTTTCCTGGTCCGGAAACCGGCTCATGTACCAGCGCGCTTATCGCTCTCAATAGTCATAAGCGGCCCTGGGGCCGTACTGCTCCGGCATAGTTTGTATTCGGAACAACGATAGTACGTATTTGCGTGGATAGCATAAAATGTAAGCCAGGCGTGACTGGTTGAGACCTCCCGCTCGCTGTTAGACGGCAGGCTGATTCTGCAGATTGCCACCCTTAACAATCTTCGATCAGTTTGTGCCCGAAGTTTTCTGTGCGTGCGCATACCGCTTCCGCCGGAAGAGCGGATAAATATTTAATATCCGTCCACTTAAAGGTACCAGGTTCCTCCGTATTTAGTACCAGATGTAGGCCGCAATAGGACAAATGATCTGCAATGGAAAGCAAAGAGAGTGAGTAGGCGGCTGTATAACTACCTAGTAAGAAATAATCATGACGGACAACGTTTCAAGCGCCTGGTGGCAAGCGTACATCAAAAGGTGGTGGAATGGATGCAAGCAACCGGACACAGAAGCAAGCGCTCACAGTTAGGGATGCGATGGCCGGAATACGAGTTGGTCCAGATGTTGGTTAAAACAACATGGCTCGTCGCGTTTCACAAGCTCACCCGTTGATACCATGGAGGTGAGATACATTGTGTGTCAAGCAACTGCTAGGAGAATTGTTTTCTCTCCGCAATTTTATCTGCGTAACGTTAAACTATGCCTATTCTGCTTAACATTTTGTTAGCAATCGCTTTATCTTGTTCTTTTCTTCTTTGCTTAAAGTAATGCTCCTATTATTTCGACACTAATATCGATAGCTTGGCTTGATTGCTTTGGCCACCTGCTGAAAGCAAAAAGAAGACGCGCCTCCCTGTACTGGATCCCTGTTGAAAAGTGAATACGCACGATGGCTACCTACTACAAACGGGCACTCGCTTTGGTGGCCTGTCTTTTGCCTGGTTGAAATGTCCTAGTTAGTGAATGGCTGAAAACTGGTATGTGCAAAAGCAAAAATATTATGCATAAGTATAGCACTCTTTTACATGTTGAGTTGTCTCTCTAGATCAGCTTCTTGCATTCTCGTACCTCCTTATTTTTTACATGCTGCGGTTGTCTCGGTGGTTACCAGGACTAAAAAAATCATTCGTTATGTGAATAGTGCGGATATACGGAACCGTTCAAATATTACGTTAACAAAACCATTTGAAAGCCAAGTAATTGCAAGCAATTGTTAATGGGAGAATTCAAAGTCATTCCTAGGTTGAATGATGTATGGCTTGCTGAACAATCGCCCCGCGATGTCTACTGTTTTTTCGGATGTATCATATTGTAGCAAAATTGCGACAACTGGGTTAATTATGTGGTAAGTTTTCGCCTGGGAGTGTGAACCCTGATAAAGTCCGATCATGTCTGATAAACGACTCTGCAACTTGACGCCCGTGACTTGGGACGACCTAACGTCAATGTCCCTTGCTTATCCAAATAAGTATACGCATGCTACATACGCCAAACTTCCTTTTTACACTAGTGACATGATCAAACACAGACAACAATGCAGCCGCACTGTTACACACTGTAGTAACGTAGCTACACGCAACCACGCTCACTTGAATATATACATTAAGAGACCCTACGACTGGCAAACTTGTGACGGTTTTGTACGGTTCTTCTCCAACTGTGGTCATACATCTACAGCCGTGCCACGCGTTGCGCAGTAAAATCACTTTATTTATTTGGTAACAAGTAAACCGTACACATGCTGTGCATTCAGGAAAAGGTAAGCTAACGGTGAAGTATGTCCCCGTAATTTCTATGCACACGCATTAAATAGCGCGTTAGAGGCGACAGATAATCGACCCACATATTATGCACCGGCCTTTACGGTTGCAAAAATGTTGTACTTGTGTTGTGCTCGCAAACCATTGGTCCCGAGAATAACGACGATGCGAAAGCGGTGAACTTCACTTTAAAAGAGTGGCCGCGTACGCGCTTCCTGGAGGACAGAAAATATTGCGTGGCTAAAAACTACTATGGGCGACAGTAGGCGTGATACAATCGTGAAGCTATTTTGCAAAGTTTTGCGCTGTCGCCAAAATGTAAAGTGCAATTTAAGTGCCAAAGCACCGAAGCGTGCTTTCCGTCACGTGTAAAGTTGCAAAATGCTTATCCACATGTACCTATATGGTGCACCAAAAATACCAATTGGCTAATGTGCTGGTAAAGTGCCTGTCGCACATTATTTCGTAAAACCAACTAAATGCATTTCAATACTGGTGTGATACGTAGGTGGCATTGTTATACCCGCAGATTTATATTAATATAGTATGCGTTTACTGGACGACTAGTCGAATGACAGCCAAGCTAATGCTGTTAAAACCTTTTCTGGCGTGCAGAAGTCTGTAGCCGCTTTTAGCGACACCGTCTCCAACAATGTCGCTGATACTCCATAAGTAGTGTAGGGAACGTTAACGTTTCCCTTCACTGGATGTTTGCCCTAGCTTGTTTCACAATGGGTGGCATTCTGTTTTTGTTCGTAATTTTTAAACATTATTTCAGGACGTAGTGGGTTTTCGAACGGCAAACGCTCCTCTTATAAAATGCCACATATAGCGTTTAACTGCACTGTGACGTGGTGGAGGTGATACGCCACTAAACGTCTCACCGCCTTTGGACAATGAAGAAGCTCCTGCCCTCTCCACAGACGGCAGTGATCCGGTGTATGCGTTCCTGTAATCATTGTACACACTGGCGCCCCTAACAAATAATCGCACGTACATCG